GGAAACATTATAGCTGCTTGTATGGGTGATAACAGAAATTATTACACCAGGCTCAGCCATTTCACACCTGCTCATTTCTTAGTTGCTAATCCCATGTTCTGGGCTAAGCAAGTACCACGTGAAAAAGTTACCTGTGTAGATGGTCTTGATTTCAACGTATTTGAATATCCTCATATGTTGCCTCCTCTTATCATAGGCAGCCATTGAACACATAAAGATCTGATATTGAAAAGGGCATCAGATATCACACGGGCTCACACATTGTGTTAGATTATTGTGTGTTTCTTTCCAGGCTAACTGTTGAGCAGGCTAAGCCAACAACTCTGTTTTGTGAAGAGGAGACTCACGGTTTAAACAGTTGAGTGAAAATATCACTCAAAACTCAAGTGTGCCTGGCTGAGGAATTCTGGGAGTTGAAGTCCACAAGTCATAAAAGGGCCAAGTTTGAAGACCCCAGCTATATATCCTTCTAGCGGAAAAAAAATGTTTGGGTGCTATGTCTGCTGTTGTGTATTTTCTATATACTCTTAAAGGCAGTATCTACTAGGGAATCAGAGGCATGTGTGCTGTGATGGCACCATACAAATGAAGTACATGCATGGTGCTGTAAGGTCCCAGTCCCTTGTTTAAACTTGAGATACCATATTAATCTAATTAAATAACCCAAGAGGAGACTTCTTGATTAAGCAGCACTTTATTTGATCAAATTAAGCAGCTGGGTGGCCAACAATCTGGAACCCTGGCAGAGTCACATACAGAAGTGCCACGTCTTAGAAAGTTGGTAGAATTGCTTTATCAACTTTGTTAACCAATGAAAATCAGACAACAGAGCCGTTATATCATAAGAAAGACATCAATCATTCCTGTACAGTCCCTTATTCCCTCCTTCAGTATATCCCATCCATGTACACGTTTCCCAAGCTTGCATGAAATTTCTCTGGTGCAAAAGCTAATTAAAAAAAGCAAGAATGCAACAGTTTGACTACACAATTTCCCTTTGTTCCAGAACCCTTCACCTCCTTATGTAACTTGGCTCTATATCATGCAGCCTGAACAGTGGTGGGATTCAAATATGTGAACAACGGGTTCTCTATGTGGATGCCACTTTCGGAAGTCCATTCTGGAACTAGGCAACAAAAAATTAGCTAAAAATTAGATGTTGGTGCAGAATTCACTTCAGCTTTAGGACAGAAGGAAAACAGATTTTTTTTCTTTTAACTGGAAATATTTTTAAACCTAAAAAAGCCAGGGCAGTTAGACCATATAAAGGCAACCACACGCTCAGTTAACCCAT